TATGATGCTAGTGTGCATCTAAAGAAGCATAAAGGAGATCCGATTGCTCAATCTATGTATGCACAGATTATTGGGAGTCTGTTGCATTTGATGAATTATACCAGGCCAGACATAGCATATGCTGTGTGCAGATTGAGCAGATATACTCACTGTCCAGGCAGTGAACATTGGGAAGCTCTGAAGAGATTATTACGATATCTGAAGGGTACCATGAATTATGGTATACTATATAGTGGATTTCCCGCTGTATTAGAAGGATACAGTGATGCTAATTGGATCTCAGATTCAGACGAGACAAAGTCCACTAGCGGTTATGTTTTTACATTTGGTGGTGGAGCTGTCACTTGGAAGTCAGCCAAACAAAGCATCATAACTCGATCCTCAAGGGATTCTGAGTTAGTTGCTATGGAATTGGCTGGTACAGAGGCTGAGTGGTTGAAAAACTTCTTAGCAAATATCCCATTGGGAGACAAGCCAACGCCATCAATATCATTACACTGTGATAACCAGGCATCAATAGCCACGGCCAAAAATAAAACATTTAATGGCAAAAGCAGACACATTCGATTGAGACACAATATTTTAAGGCAGCTGCTAAAGGACGAGGTGATCTCAATCGATTTTGTGAGGTCAGAAATGAACCTAGCAGATCCATTAACAAAACCCCTAGGGAGGAAACAAATTATTGAAACATCGAGGGGAATGGGACTAAAGCCAGTATGATTACGACAGCGATGGCAACCCAACCTTTGTGATTGGTGATCCCATGAAGAAGGTTCAATGGGTAAAAACAAGTCGCTCGTTAGTACTGCTAGCACTAAACCAAAATTACTAGTCCCTTCCTATGATGTGCGAGAAAGTGCTAGATTGCATATTGGAGGGTTGAGCAAAGCTCTTAATGATTTCAAATCCTACGGGATGGTGTATTCAGTGCAGGTACACTTAAATGAAATCACCTCTACGAATGTGGAGTGGGGCCGCTCCTATGAGATCATGGCAAAATCTCTAGAGCATTCGTTATGCACCAGGCACGCGCACGGCCGTTATAACGCGCAAAACCGTCGTTAACAGCGGAAATGTGGGGGTATAATCTGACTTTTAATGCCTCTGGTACACGCCGAAGAGATGACAGTTCATAGAAGCAGGCTTCACTGGCATCTCTGTGTACTAAGTGTTATTGGTCTAGGTCTAGTTCATAGTCGCAAGAACCACTAGATACAATGATTATACCCATGTGTGTAACTCTGGCTCTTTATTTGACACATGTGGGGGATTGTTGTGAAACAATGCAATGTGTGTGTCAAATAAAGTCCCACATGGGAAAGATGAGAAGAAGTCTAAGTGTATAAATGAGATCAAGCATCCTTGGGGGGGTAAATGGGCCAAGAGGGAAGTGGGCCTCGCGCACACAACAACGGGCCACCAGGAGGGAAACGCAGTTGTAAACCGGCGATTTCCCCCTGCGCGTGAATTATTAACGCGACAAAGCCTCATTTTACGAAAATTATTTTAAACTTTGTTGAATATTTTTTAATAAAATTATGTTTACCAGAAAAGCCTTATTTTGGACCTGTTAAAAGTCAAGAGGCTTGCCGTATCGTTCTGTGGCCGACCGGAAGCGTCTCGCGGGGTGTAAACGAACGTTGTGTGCACCAACGTTCGTGTTGTTCCGTCTCCAACGGAACCTTGCGTTGCTTCGGTCGTACCCGCTCGGCGAAACAGAGGGATGCGTCCTCCGGTGATGTGGCCATTCGCGCCTATATAAGGGACTGTCCAGACAGCGTGAAAATACACTGTTCCATCCTCTTCCTCTTCTCTCCCGCTGTGTTTCCTGTTACAATTGCTTTCGTTGTTCTGCTGCCTTGCTTCGCAGGAAGGGTTCGTTTGATCCTGGGGAGTGCCGCTGCCCGTTACACCGAGGGGTTGCGGAATATCTCTCAAGGACAGTGTCCTTGTGACGCGACTCGAACCGGATTTGCTGTTCCTCCTTTGCTGCCGCCAACAAAGTGTCACATGGCAAACCTCACGTTAAATTGCCTCTACATATGCTCTGCTTGCTTCTAATCTGGTTTGTTGAATATGTATCATTCACTCTAGAGCCAAAAACCACACATAAATTCCTTACGTACAAATAATGTCTTGGTATAGGAAAATCATTGTTGCTAATGGATCCTGGGCCACTGTGACAGGGCAACGAAACATTCTTTTGGAACAATTCATAACCCCTAAAAATTTTTTACTTATACTCTCCCGACTTTTGTTTTCTTGATCAAATCATGAGAAGAGTAAGGAAAGACATGGACTATGCTATCTTGCATTTCCTATGAAACTCCTTTCGACTCTTCTTACCATAAAGTTTAATAACAGGCATCAAAGAGTCTTCATTGAAGGCAAGAAGTTTACAGTACAATCATATAGAGTATGTGCTAGAAATTATGAACGAACTGTTAATATAATTGAGTTTCGATGGCAACATGGAACTGCACTAAAACACAGTCAAGTCATTTAACGAACAATTCAAGAGTGGAAAAAAGACAGAAATAGAAAGGTAAATGTAACTATGAGCAACACTACAAAAAAACAGCTAATTAGCGACGGAAATTCCGTCGCTAATTTTTTTGACGGATTAGCGACGGAATTTCTGTCCGTCGCTAAATTCCGTCGCTAATCCGTATTTAGGGACGAAATTAGCGACAGAATATTTTTCCGTCAGAGAATTCCGTTGCTAATTCCGTCAAAAAAATTAGCAACAGAAATTCCGTCGCAATTCCGTCAAAAATTAGCGACGGAATTTGTTTCCGTCATAAATTCCATTGCAAATTTTAAAAAAATAAATTACATAGGATATATATACAAGTAGAAAAATACTGTTTATCATAATTTATTTAAATCATTTAATTTTTTATATAGAATAATTTATTACATTTTATTATAGTAGTTATTTTTTGAATAACAAGATTTTTTGACTAATTGTAAATGATTTTCTTCAAATATATAAACCACATATACATAATATAATATAATGTAATATAATATATATAATTAAATTGTATATCTTATCAATGTTAATTAAAAAATAATTTAAAAAATATTTATGAAAAATTATTTATGATGTAAAATTCAAAATTAGTGTTGTTAGAAATTAAAATTATATTAAAAATATTTTTCAAAACATAAAACATTATAAAAATAGTAAAAAAATATTTTAAAATTATTTTTTCATTAAAATAGTTATGATTAAAATTATCATATAGTATATTTTTAGTTTTTAATAATATATATGTATATATAATTGTTTGTGTAAAATAATATAATATATATTTAATTTTACATAATAAGTCAACAGGTTCATTGCAACTCAACTGGTAAAGCTGCACGTGCGCACGGAGGAGGTCCTGGGTTCAAGCCATGGAAAAGTCACTTTGAGAAGGGAATTATGTGGTGGTGACACGTGACGCACACGTGGCAGGCAGAGGTGAGGTGACAAGCACACGTGGTAGGCAGAGGTGTGACACGTGGCGTACACATGGCACGCAGAGGTGAGGTGGCAGCACATGTGGCAGTAGACATGAGGTGGCACTGACACGTGGAGGTGGTCCCTAGTAATGACGTGGCAATTGGTAGAGGTGCCACGTGGCATTTTATTTTATTTTTTAAAAAAATCGATTTAGCAACGGATTAGTGACGGAATTTTTCTGTCGCTAATTACCGACGGAATTTTTCCATCGCTAATTAGGGACGGAAAATCCGTCGCTAATCCATCACTAATTAGCGACAGAACTTCAATTCCGTCGCTAACCAATTAGCGATAAAGGAATTAGCGACGGAACAAATTCCATCGCTAATCCATTTCCGTCGCTAAATAAAAAATTCGGTCGCTAAAAGCATGTTTTTTTGTAGTGCAAATAACATACCTTATAGCATGAACTAGAGTTTGAGGGCTGCAAAGGGAAAAAGGAAAAGAATTATGCATATTATTGCAATCAAAGCGCACAGATTCATGTTTGCCACTGTAACGCAGCCAAGTTTGTTGCTAATGAAACAAAAATCAAACCCGCCAAGTTTAATTGATTTACTTTTTATTGAGATTTATTTTGTGATGGTTATTTATTATTACTAACTCAAGGTTCTTGAATATGTAGATGACAGGTCGTGGTTTAAAGCGTGATAGAACAAACTTGATCACTTCATCTCCAATTATAAATGAAGAACGTAATAGACCCTCATTGTCATCTTCATTATCTCCAATGATGACTCAATCTGATAGTAGAGCCTCATTATCACCTCAAGCATCATCTCCTCAGATCCCATCTCCTAGAACTGAAAACTCGCATCCCCCTACTCCACAGGCCCCTCCTACTAGTTTTTCACCATCGGGTTATGATTCCTCAGATGGTCAAACATGGATATATCCTGAAAAGAAAACGTAAGTTGTTATCAAAGTTATATTATTTCACATCTTCATTTAGTTTATTAAAGCCATTCTAACAACATTTATAATGACTTTTTTTACAAAATTGTAATTGGGTTTAATCCTACTGTTGTTACTATACGAAATATTCTTCCTGTTATTCAAGAAAAATTTGACCATCCATGTTTCTAACTGGAAAGCAACACCCCTTGAGTACAAGAAAATGTAGTTTGATGAATGGACGGTAAATCTTATATCTAATTATTTATGTTTTCAGCTTTTTTTCTCTCATTATGTTTACTTTATGTTTTTTTCTGTTACTCATTTATGCAGCGCAAATATAAATGGTTGCCACAGTATAATGATGGCATTAAGAAAATTTGGAATACAAAGTGCACAGAAATTTTAAGAAATACAATGCATACTGTCAGGCAAGACTTGTATTAAAAACAAGTTAGGGCTAAATGGATTCCACATCAAGTGATGAATGAGTTAGAGAGAATATGGGCATCAAAAGATTATAAGGCCAAGTGTGAGATTGCTAAAGTTAGTTGAGCCTCAACCTCAAGAGGCACTCAACACAAAGGTAGGAGTATTCCTAATACTGAGCATAAGAGGAGGCTAGTAAGAATTTATCTTCAAATTAAATCATTATTTATTTAATGCATATGTAATACATACTCGTAAATAATTTCAGGCTTTGGAGTTAGGAAGAGACCCTACTATGTTTGAACTATTCAAGAGGACGCATTTAAATGATAAAACCGGAAAATTTGCGGATCGGCGAGCAGAATTAGCTCATGTGAGTATATGTTTCTAATGTTTGTTGTATTGGATCTGAACTTGTGCTGACGGCCAGAGGCCTGACTAGTTGTAGTGTGTGTCTTATTGAATGTTAGTCATATTAAATCATTTGGATAGTGCTGACTGTCGAAAGCTAACTAGTGTTAGGCAAAAGTCTATTGCTTTTGACTTGTTGGAAGTTATAGAACTTATACACACGCTACTCTCCAATCTGCTTTACTTTGTTGTTGAACTTGGGTTACATTTGCATATTGTTCAATTTAATAGAATTGGTAAATGTCATCGTCTGCTATAAATTAGTGAATTATGGTATCCTTTCTTATTCTTGGTGCAATTTTATTTTTGAAAATTGGTTTTTCTAAATATCACTCTTATTCCTTTAGATTTAACTTGTTCTGGATTTATTTTTTTGAAGTTGGGATTAAGTCGAAAAGGATCTTGCCTTAAATATATATATATATATATATATATATATATAAAGCACATGAGGCATTCATATTTTGCTGCACCAATTTGCTAGAAGAAAATTTTATAGTTTTAATTTGAACATGTCCTGAAATTTGTTACTAAATCAACATGTGTTCTGGGATAACCTTCAACATGTGTCATGGCATCAGATTCATTTTTTTCCCCCTTCCATCATACAAAAGTGGGATATTTTTATTTCTTTTTTATTGATTATGGTTTTGCTTAACATAACTACTAAATTTTTATTATGTCATGATGAATTATTTCTTTTTTTAGTGATGCATGATTGTGAATTCTTATTTAAATAAAACATACACTTACCTCATCCTACACCTTTTGTTTTATAGGATGAGTTTACAAGGAGAAAGGCAGAATTAAGTTCTGAAAGAGGCTCTCTAAGCGTGCAATCTAATTAGGAAGAATTTAATATATGGTTAGAGGTTATAGGTGGCAAGAACAAGAAGGGCTGCATCTATGGATTTGGATCCGAGGCGGATGATGATATTTGTGCTCCTCAGGGATCTTCTCCTTCTATTAACAGCACTAGCATCAATCCTAATGTTGAAACTGAATTGCGTACGAGGATAACAGAGCTTGCACAGGAGAAGCAACAAATTAAACAAGAGCATGAAGAGATGAAACAAAATTACAGCAAAATCATGTTTGCATTGGAGGGAATGGGAATTAGATTATCTAAGCCATTTAGTAGCAATAGAAATTTAGAAAATGATAGTTGAGGGTCATTATTATTAGACAACTTGGGTTATTATTTCTGCCTTTTAGTTGTTGACATTTGACATTTCATGTATCCAGGATCTGTGAAAGACTATATATTTTTAATTACAATATGCTTGATTTTCAACAAATTCAATTACCTTTTACTTCCTCTTGACAAACTAAACAATTAATCAAAATAAAATAAATTTTATAATATAAGAAAACCAACAAAAAAACAGAATTACTGGTGCGGGAAATTAGCCACGGAATTACCCAAGGAATATTCCGTGGCTGATTAGCCCCAGATTTTCCCATAGAATTTTCCGTGGCTAATTTGCGACGGAATATTCCGTGGCAAATTCCGTGGCTGATTTGCCATGGAATATTCCGTCGCAAATTACGTGGCTGATCAGCCACGGAATATTCCGTCAAAAAACTACTGACAGAAATTATCCCTCGCAAATCTGTTGGTAATTATTGATGGAATTTTTGTCAGAAATCTGTCAGAAATTACCGACGGAATTTCGGATTCCGTCGCAAATGAAATTAGCGACGAAAGAATTTTTGTCGGTAATCTCGTTCTGTCACAAATCCGTCAAAAATTCCATCAGTAATTTTATATTCCGTCAGTAATTCCATCGGTATTTGGGTGTTTTTTTTTTGTAGCGATATGTCTTTTCAATTCCATTTCAGACAACTTGCCCTGTGATTGTGGTGGGGTGTTCAAATATCAAGCTCTCAATAATCACCCAAAAATAAAAAATAATAATAATAAAATTAACGCAGCGGTATTGCTTTAACTGTGTTTGTCATCTTACCGATAAAAACATAATTTGGAAAGGGCTATATTCATTTAAGAATGATACTATTGATATTGATTGGACTTCGAAAAAGGGGGAGAGAAATTTCGCTCTTAGTCGGTGGGTGGTGGGCTTTGCCGCCTTGCTTTGCTTAAGCTGGTTTCGTCCTGGCACGACAATTTCTTGCTGCTTTCTGCTGGTATTTTCCTGTGTGTTATCTTATCTGGTGTTGGAATTCTCCTCTACATATATACATGACTTGGAAATCGTCGCAAAAGAATGAATTTTACTACCACTCCTCAATCTTCAACCAAGGATCATCAGGCATGCATGGTGTTTTTGCCCAAGATTTTTGGACAGCAGCAAAATTCATCCACATGATAAACTTAAGACTCTCATCAGTTATAATTGGAAGCTACATTCAACATTACGGGACGGAGTTATTTGCTTCTTATTACTTTGAGGTTCCCATGGATCTTGAGCATATGTTATCTAGTGATCCATGGGTTTTCATAAGTGGCTCTCTTCTTCTTCTTATTATACCAGAAAGCTGCATATTTGACAAGTTTCTTTATGGCTTCAAGTAACCGGGCTGCCAGTAGATCTTTTCACACCTCATAATACCGCACAAACTAGCTATTGGACGGGTTCTTGGTCTTATCCTCAGAAATCTCATAGTTTTGCGTTATCTAGCGTTTGATTAAATCTTGATAATCCTCTGCAAATCAACGGTTTGGTGAGTTTGCCTGCAGGATTATTTACTACTCGTGAGTTTTTACTCTTTTTTTTGGGGGGGGGGGGGTATGAACATAAAGAGATATGGGGACCATGTTGCGTACCATCTAGATGAGGACACAACTATCCTTAACAACTAATTAAACATACTACCTCCGGTCTCTAGTATAAGAGCTAGTTGACTAATTTGAATACATTAAAGAAATTAGTTAAGTTGGTTATTTGTGATAAATAAGTATTGTCTTTCCTAAAGTATCCTTATTAATCAAGTGTATTGGCTAGAATTACCATTATTACAATGATCATCTTAGGAAAAAATGGATAAATATAAAAGAGAAAGTGAATTGAGGTTTTATATTTAGTACAAAAATAAAAGTCAAACAAGCTCTTATATTAAGAACCGGAAGTAGTATTATAGACCCTTTTATAAATCCTAACACTAATTTGTGATCTCAACAAACTAAGCTACGATCTTAACTGACTTTAATATCTCCAGCATACTTATGAATGATCAACAATAATTCAAGTACTCACGTACCAATGATTCGAAGCCCGCTACCTTTGGTTCCGATTGTTTGACAGCATTATATATTCTCATAAGTTAATGGGTTTGATGATCTTTGGGACGATTGTCCCAAGGGTCTCCGCCAGAACTGCCTCATGTAATGTCTTGTTTTATGTTTTAGCTTTATCTCTCATTCTGAGTCCAACAACAACTACTACTATTTTTTTAATATAATAAAATTAAATATATGCGTACGTACAAACATGTCAATCCCGAATTCAAATATAAAATCTCATCTAAACATGACAGGTGACATTTTTACTGAGGCAACTAGTCGTTGATAGAATCTAACTATTTTTTTTAAGCTACGCATAGCTTTTTCTGTTGTTGAAGGTAATCATATTCAAAATGCTGTGGGACACTAAACATGGAATTTAAGCCTTGATCACTCGTGAAGTATTTTGCTACACAGCTTACAGTCTAAACACTCGGGGCAAAACTAAATGCTTCCTATGACCAAGTTCATACAAAAATTTTTCCTTGGGCTCTTATGTTTCTTTGTTTGTGTCTCTTGTTATGGGTCTTTGTTTCGGTTTTCTTTATGTTCTCTGTCTCGTATGGCCCACTTGGTCATCTAGGACCAAATGAGCTTTAATTTTGTTTTTTGAAAAAAAAATGTTGTAATCGTTTTACTCTTTAATAAATTTGATCTTGGCGGAAAAATTATTGATTGAGATGTTAATATGCCCTATTAACATAAAAAAGAATTACATATAATTATATATTTTAAAATGTTCCTTTTGAGGTGAAGGTCCTTCGATCTTCTCAATTAATAATCAGCAACATCCATTTTCCAGTGTCAAATAGTGATTGTTTTATTCATGCCTCAACCGCGTTAAAACATACAATCCCATGCATTAAGATATTAACAACGATTTTGTGTTATAATATAAAAGTCTTATGCAATGCATCAAATCAAATATATTAGAAACCATTCAATTTATAATTTTGTTATGATCAAAATCATACGATTGATCCTTTAATGTCAGAGCTTACAATCTTTAATATCCGATGCATTTAGTACGTGGTGTTTCTTCTAGGTCAATATTATAATCTTAATCACAATTAAAAGTAAATAATGTATTAGAATCCCAGATTCTGTAATTAATGTGAATATACACACCTTCAGCAAAACAAGTTTCTTTTATTTGTATTATGAACGTATGACAACCAAAACCCATGTAGAAAGCAATGTACAAACTAATTTTCTCAATTCAAATATTCAACTTGTAGAACTTGAAAATTACTTTCAAATAGAAATACAATTATGTCTGCATAAATAGTAACAAACATTAAAATCAAAATCAATAAGCTTCGTTTAATTTTGGATTGATTCGGTTGAGCGAATTCGCTCGAAACATGCTCTTAATTTATATCAAGCTCTTAAAAAAGGTTATCATGATTTTAGTAAATATGTTTTAATTCATTCATTCATTTCACGACTTTACCGCACGCTCTGAGAGGATCCAAACCCGAGATAATTGTAGGACTCTTTCTGAATTAAATGAACGAAACGTTTAGTTTCTTCACCCCACAAGCTTAATTTTTTTTCTTACGAGGGTTTTCCTTTGTTCAGCTATATAATTTCGCAAAGGAAAAAGTAAATATGTTATATTTATTCTTTTACTTTTCAAAAGTTGAATAGGAACATTGTATGGTAATTAATGGTGGATCTCACACTATATTTCATGTACAATGCATATTCTTAACTCATTAATTTGGAGGTATGGCGGTGCATGTATAAATACAGGCCCATCGAAATGTTAGAACACACAATTAGGAGCTCTTTGATCTCTCTTCCTCATCTCAGAGGATTTCATCTGAAGTCTTTCAGGTGATTGGTCTTGTTCATCATACTTGATTTCTATTTTAGTTATACGAGAAGTATATATATATATATATATATATATATATATATATCGGTTTTGTGAAATGAAATTTCCTCTCTGTTGAGGAAATGCTGTTTTCAGATCAATTTCATTTCGTACAATATGGAGAAATATCAATATAGTAAAATAATTTTTGAGTTTTTTTAACTGTCAATTGTTTTCTTCAACTTCGTTTTGTGTGCATCGCATGGAATGCTTAAAATTGAACAAAACAATTTTAGGCATTTCCAGCCTTTAACTAATATCATTTTCATTATATGTGTGTGTGTGGGTCGTAGTACATACTTCATATTATATTAAATAAACTTTTATTATGTTGTTAGTTTGCTTTTCAGCTGTGAAGAAGAACAAATGGCTGCTTACAACAAGAAGAAGGTTGCGTTCATCATGGGATCAACTGGAACAGGAAAAACCAAGCTTTCAATTGACCTGGGTTCCCATTTCCCGTCTGAAATCATCAACGCCGACAAGATCCAAGTTTACAAAGGTCTAGACATAATCACAAACAAGGTCCCAGAATCTGAGCGACGAGGAATCCCGCACCACCTCCTGGGAATCATCGAAGATCCCGAATTCGACTACTCTCCCACCCATTTCTGCGACCATGTCATCTCTGCGATCGAACACATCACCCAACGAGGACACCTCCCCATCATCGTCGGAGGCTCCAACACTTACC